ACCATAACACTCACATTGTTGATCTTCTTGTACATAGCCTATAGAACCTCATGTATGGGTGTACTTGTATGCGTTCACCCGAGAGTCCAAAGATGGCGTCCGCGCCGGAAATGGCGTCACCTACGCGTTGCGTCACTGCTCACGTGACTTCATCAGGGACCACTTTTGGGGAAGTTTTGATTGTTTGTATTGTTTGTTTCACCATTTGGCACATTATCATTTGTATAGAGAGCACTACACCCTATGTTTATGTGTTTGGTTTTTCACTTTGAGGTAATAAGGTGCAGGTGTTAGCAGCCTATTAAGGGTATCAACTTGAGCACAAGAGGTTTCTCTGTTTGCTATTGGTACATCCAGAATATAATGTTAATTTATTAATAATACTACCATATCATTTTATGGGGGGTTTTTTTTCAACAAAAATGCTACTAAACCTTGTTTGTGACCCTTTGCATTCTGAATAAGAGAAGTATTGTATGTATTATTCAGAAACGTAAAAAAAATGTAAGCAGTTAAATATTTTAAAAACGGTTTAGAGTGCTGTCAGTCGAACATCAATTATTTAATTTTACAATACTTGTCAGAAAAACTGCTGAGCAATTTCATGACAATCAGAATAGGGAAGTAATATTTATATATACCGGTAAATTAAATATTAAAAACACTTAGAATCTAAATAGGCCCATACCTTTATAAAGAACATGAAAAAAAAAATAATTTTTTAAACATTTTCTTTCATTTTTTTTTCTTTATATAACCCAAATAATTTTTATTCTGGGATGTGAAAACCATATATTCTGTACCTCTTTTGTAAACAGTATTACTGTTTTAAGTATTTATTTTTCATTAAAAACTGTTAAATAAAGTTTACCTTCTTGTTTTATCGCTGTATTCTCTTAAATATAATGTTAAAAACACACACTAAGATTGCTGCTTCCACACTATATTATGCTTATTAGACAAATTATAACATCACATCACATACAGGTTTTATTATTGTTGGAACATGCCATTTTAAAAGAAAAACTTTATTTAGTGAAATGTATAATTTCTCTGTAAAACAATTTTATTGATAAAAATATGACTAGAATATGGAAGTACTTACTAAAATGTTATCATTTACAACAGTTCAAAACAAACATCATTTTTGTTTTTTCTCATCAAAGTGTACAGTTTAAAATATGTGTTTTTCAGCCAATTATTTCTTCTGAAAGCTATTTTTTTTTCACCACATCAGTTTCAAATGCAGTCTACAAAAATAAACTTTGCCAGTAGGTGGTATGCATATCGTTGCCCCATATTACCACATTAACATTTTTTAAAAGATATATTTACGTATTAAAATAACTTATTTTACGCATGCTAAGCACGTAACTGTGTAAACCAAAGCTCAAAGAGCATGATTAAAATATATATGCTATCCTTGGTTATTTTGAAATAAATAATAAATTATTAAAACAATACAGTTTGATTCTAATCTAGTGATACAAAGTATCATATCATATAAAATAGTGCTTTATATATATGAATCATTTTAACTTTGTAGTGCTATTAAATACATTGGTTTTTAATCATTTTTAGCCTAGCGGCTTATCTATTATATATGAATTATTTCTTTTTGTAATTTTTAATTTGTTAATATTAAGTACTTCCTGGAGATGTGACCATGTAAATGTTTAAAATATGAAAATAAAATGGCAAATTTAGTGCTAGAAATATATTGCATAATATAATTTATATTATAACATTTTGAAACATAGCATTATAGTTTAATAAAGCAATAATGACAGATATTATAAGATGGCAAACCTAAAGATCTTCTACAATAGCTTTTTTTTACATTTCAAGTAAATGAATAATCATTTAATGGATTGCAAAATACTTTACCAATGCTATTCACCCCCTTCACACGACGAAATCAAAATTAAAATGTCACTTAAAAAAATATTTTAAAATGAAAAAGAGTTGAGTCTCCTAAGAAACAATATATACTGTATTGCTATATATATATATATATATATATATATATATATATATATACACACACATACACTCACACTCTAAAGCAGTGGTCTCCAAACTGCGGCCCAGGGGCCGGATGCGGCTCTTTGCTTGCCTTTATCCGGCCCTTGGGACACTATTCTTTCCACTGATATGAGACACAATTCTGCCAACTGGATCAACAATGGGGCGCCATATCTCCCACTGATACCAACAATGGAACACTAGTCCTCCCACTGACACCAATGATGGGGCACTCTTCCTCCCACTGATACCAATTATGGGGCACAATTCCTCTCCTTTATACCAAATGTGGCAATGTTTACTACCACTGATTCCAGGAAAGTTTCCACTCCCTCTGGCTACAGTTTGACCCCCTAAATTCTGAAGGACAATAAACTGGCCCTTTGTTTAGAACGTTTGGAGACCCCTGCTCTAAAGGATTCTCTAGTTAATTAGAAAGAACAACATTTTTTATATTGCCAATGAAAAAGGAGAAAAAAATATTGTAGACCAAACAAAGCAGTGCAAATGCTTTCTTGCCGATTATTTGTAATTACCTATAAGGAGGGTGAAAGTAAACACTGCATTTCTAATACTTTTTTAAACACATCTTATTCCTGTCTTTTAAGATTAGCTACTAGCTGATATATTGTTTACAGTTTGTTTAGGGCAAGCAATGCAAAAGTTGCACTAAAAAGGCTGTAGCTATTAGTGATATTATTTCAATGAACATTTATTGTTACAACTCACAAAAGTAAAAGTGAACCTAAAATCTAAAAGTAAACATTAAGCATCAGTGGTGGTCCCGAAACAGAGCCAAAAATTCAATACTTTCCAAAGATGGTTGTATAAAAGTATGCATTGTTTACTTTTAGACTTTAGGTATAATGCAGGCCATACATGGGTCAAATTCCGAACGAGTTTTCATCCAAAAATCGAAAACGTCGTTCGCTCGGTAATCCGATGGTACCATCAATGATTTCGAAAATCGGCTGACCGAGTCATATAGTTCACCCCATATAACAGGCGAAACTTCTGTTCCTTCCAGGTCATGGCCCATGTGCATATTCCTTTCGGAAAAATGATCGTACGATTTGACCATCATTGAGTTGAAAATCAGTCGTTTTCCACGAATTTTCCAACAATTTTCCAAAGGGGAGGAACCACAAAAATCGGATGGTGCCATTGACCCACTAAAAGAGCGCGAAAATCGGTCACATTTTGACCCATATATGGCCGACATTACTCCTCTTTATATTGGGCAAGCAAAGGACAATTTTAAAGTGGACTGGCAAGCATAGACATAATCCACCAACAACTATCCCTTGTATGTGGTGCAGGTGACTTAAGATAGATAGCCAAGGGGTCACATTTCTGGATTTCTCATATGTGGTTATACCAGTATAAAAAGGCTACCTCAATCTATGCCTGAGCCTTACTAGGTAGCCATGCCGTATGGTATATGGTCACCTCCAATTCAAACAGAATGTTACAATGGAATCTTGTGCAAAAATATCATACCTATTGAAAATGTAGTCAAATGAGCTGGATATGATTGTACTCTGCATTGGTTAACCATATGATTCTCTTAGTACTTCAACACAATCAGTAGAATCTTTCTTCCTAACCGATGACTTCTAATTGCCAAAACATTCCTAACTGCCAGTGCCATAAGTTGTGACATTATAGGATGCACCATATGTAGATACCTGCATAATAATTTGGTATTCTGCAGTTTAGATTTCTGAAGCAGATGTGAGTCATGATTTGCAGATCCGCATGAACGGCATACAGCCACGATGATTCATGGTTAACCCACACAAAATGTATATTGCAAACAATATAGAGACACATGGTTCATATCTGCACTTTCAGATTCATTTATGTGCAAATGAACGCTTTGGTGAATCGCATTTTGATGTTTGGCCTATATAGCAGCAATCTGTTTTACTGTAACCTGCGTGGTGTCTGCTTATTTGAGTTGTCACCTAGTGCTAAACTATAGATCTTGTGGATTTAAGGAAGAGATCACACCAAGGTTCATTCTGCTGCTTTCTAACTCAGCATTTAATTGTGGAGGGCAACTACTAAACCACAAGAAAGTAGTCACAGTGATGGCAACTGTTACTGTTTGTACACGTCTTCAAGTGATACTAAACCTAAAAACGTTTTTTTTTTTTTGCCTTAATGAACTGCTTACATTCTGGTAAAAAAAAAAACATTTTTAGTTTCCATGTGCTCCCTCTTCCCTGTGTGAAGGGAAAGAGAGGGGAGAATAAATCCAGTGCTCTGCATGCATCTCTTCTCCCATCGCTTCCTCTTCACACAGAGACCCAAACAGCAGCAGGAGCCATTGGCTCTTGCAGCTGTCAATCAAATGTGGTGAAGAGGAAGTGGGGGGCAGGGATAACTCCTGCTGGGTGTGTCTATGGAGCGCGGCTCCATAGACACACAGGTCAGGAGCAAGCACGCAGCGTGTGTCCCCAAGCAAATGGGACACACAAAGAAGAGGAGGAGCCAGGATTGCCGGCAGTGGACCCAAGAAGCGGAAGATCATGGCCGCTCTGTGCAATACTTTGTTTTAACTGTATAACATGTTTGTTATTTAAATTACAAAAACAATCTGCCTTTAGTAACACTTTAATTGCCCTGACTTTCCAAACCAGACAGTGCATCAGTGTCTATAAACAGTTCCCTTCAGTTTTTATGGCACTGAGATAATTACAATTTAATCAGTGGCTTAAAAAAAAACACAGCACTGGCTCTATCTCACAATAGTCACTTCACACACACAGCTTTGATATGCTGCTAATTTCATTGACTATATATAAGTTTGCTTACACATCTTTTTTCCAGCTGGAGCATTTCCTAACATATAGCGTATTCACAAAATTCATATTTGGCATTTTCAGAGAATTGTATGGAAATCTGGGGTTATGGAGATCAAAATTTAGATTGGATGGAGGCATGTTTCCAACTTTATGATAAATTTAATCCTATGAATCCTTGTCTACAATATTCAGGAGAGCTTGCAATAATCGATCATCTCTATGCTTATAGGGTCTTCTATTATAGAATCGGTCAATATAGTCATTGTATAGATTGTTCCCCTTGTCTTGTGTACCTGACTGCTTGTAAAGTTTTTGCAGAGCATGATAATAATGGGTCTTAGGAATATTAGCATGTTCCTCTGCAAATGCAGCACCTTCTCTGTCAAAAGCATTCTTCAGAAGATGTAGCATGGCTTTTGATTTCACAGGATCCTCCATTTCATAATTTTCATCATTTTCTGTAGGTTTCTCTGTCACTAATTGATCATTGGAAGATTCCTGTAATGTTAAAAGACATGGTCAGTATTCATGCTGTGATGATAGCCAACTGAACATCACAATATTATGCAGTTAAGAAACCCAAACCCTCCTTATAAATATAAATCTGGGATATCTAGTGTAAACAGCATTATTGTTCCCATGACAGGAACATTTTTTACATGGAGAGATTCCAAAATGTATAACTCTTCTTCTCATTCTAGATGCCAGAACACATTTCTTGTGTTTACCTGGGTAGAAAATTTTAACTGTGTATGTGGAACATTTCTAAGAGTCTTTCTTTACAGGAGTCACAGATAATCCCCATAATGAAAGTACACATATTCGACACATTGCAGGGATTGTTTTGCGACGGCTCTGCAAACGCTGAGAAATTTGCCCAGTGATGTATATACAACCCCAATTCCAAAAAAGTTGGAATGCTGTGTAAAATCTACCTAAAAAACAAAATGCAATGACTTGCAAATCTCATAAACCCATATTTTATTCACAATAAACATATCAGACATACCAAATGTTTATACTGAGAAAACATTTTAAGAAAAAATAGGTCATTTTGTAATTGATAGCAGTAAAATGTCTCAATAAAGTTGGGACAAGGCAACAAAAAGCTGGCAAAGTAAGTGGTACTAACAATGAAGAGCTGGAAGAACAATTTTCAGCTAATTAGGTTAATTTGCAACAGGTCAGTAACATGACTGGGTATAAAAGGAGCATCTTAGAGAGTCAATGGGATTGAGTTACTAAAACTGGAGAGTGAAAAATCTGGTGCAGTTGTGCAAGATAGCCAATCAGTGTCTAGCTTCAGTTTGTTCAGTTAAGCTGAGACAATAAAACCTGGAAGCTGACTGGTTTCTTTGCAGAGCTGCACCAGATTTTTCAGTCTCAAGTTTTAGAAAATCAACCCCAGAGTGTCTGAGAAGTAAAGATGGGTAGAGGTTCACCAATCTGTTGCTTGTAGAACAGTTTCAGAATGTTCCTCAATGTAAAATTGCAAAGACTTTAAATATATTATCATTTACAGTACCTAATATCAAAAGATTCAGAGAATCTGGAGACATTTCTGTGCACAAAGGAAAAGGCCAAAACACAATATTGAATGCCCATGATTTTCAAGCCCTCAAACAGCACTGCATTAAAAACAGGCATGATCCTGTGGTGGACATCACTGCATGGGCTCAGGAATACTTACCAAAAATCACTGTATATGAACACAGTTTACAGTGCCATCCAAAAATGCAAGTTACAGCTCTATTATGCAAAGAAGAAGCCATATCTGAACATGATCCAGAAATGTCACCATTTTCCCTGGGCAATAGCTCCTAGATTGTAAGCTCAAAGAGCAGGGCCCTCGATCCCCTCATGTTTTGCATTGTATTGGTATTGTTCTGTCACAGTTCTGTCCCCCTTTGTAATGTACAGCGCTGAGTGAACTATTGGCGCTTTATAAATACTGTATAATAATAATTTAAAATGGTCTGTTGCAAAGTGGAAAACTGTTTTGCAGTCAGACAAATTAAAATTTGACATTAATTTTGGCAACCATGGGTGCAGCGTTCTCCAGACTAAAGAGGAGAGTCAAAAAGTCAAAAGACTGCATCTCTGATGGCCCGGGGGTGCATTAGTATGGGTGGGCTGGGCAGCTTGTACACTTAGAAAGGCAGGAATCAATGCTAAAAGATATATACAAGTTTTAGAGAAGCATTTGCTCCTATCCAGATAATGTCCTTTTCAGGGAAGGCCTTGCATATTACAGCAGGACAATGCTAAACCGCAAACTGCATTCATGACAACAGCTTTTTTGACAATGGCTTTTTAGTAGAAGATTCCAGGTGCTTAACTGGCCTGCCTGCAGTCTAGACCTTTCACCAACTGAAAATATTTGGTGCATGTTGAAACAAAAAAAATCCAACAAAGAAGACCCAGGACTGTTGAGCAGTTAGAATCCAATATCAGGCAAAATAGGACAGCATTCCTCTCACAAAACTCCAGCAACTGGTCTCCTCAGTTCCTAGATGTTTACAGAATGTTGCTAAAAGAATAGGGGATGCTACGCCATGGTAAACATGGTCCTGTCCCAACTTTTCTTAAATGTGTTGCTGCCATCAATTTTAAAATTACCTTTTTTTCTCAAAATGGTAAATTTTCTCAGTTTTAAACATTTTCTATGTTTTCTATTATCTTTTGTGAAGAAAATATGGGTATATGAGATTTTAATATCATTGCATTCTGTTCTGTTTTTATGCAGATTTCACACAACTTTTTTTGGAATTGGGGTTGTATATATAAACCTGCATCCAGGTTATCAAAGATGAAACAGTAATATTTAGGATCAGATAATAACACAGCTGTAGTTACAGAAGGTGGTTGTAAAAAATTAAATACAATGATACATTCTAAATTTGATGACAGATTTTTGAGTAAAAGTGGTCATAGAACTCAGAGGACAGACAAACGTGCAGACAGGATCCAGTCATAGGAAAGGACTTTCTGAGCACTTTTATGCTTAAAGTATATCTAATAGACATGTGCGTTTCATTACGAATAGATTTTCAGATGAAAATTTGATTTTCTGAGATTCAGATGCATACAAATCTCCGAATGGACATAGTAATGAATGTCAATGAATCCAAAAAAAGTTATAACAAAATGAACCAATGCATTTGTCTCATTTGAATGACATCACATGATGCTATAGTAGTTCAGGCCAACGGGGAAATTAATTACATTTTCAAATTTGTTTGATCACTCAGATTCATGGAAATTTGTGATTTAAATTGAATTTGTAATTGTCACAATCAGTCAGTTCAGTTCGTCAGTCTAATGCAATTCTTAAGTTTGAAAAATTTGGGACTGCCAAATTTTACATTATTTATTCAATTGCGTCCGAAATGATAGAATCCTTCTGCATAGTTTTGATACATGAATAATGAATCTACCCAGAATATTGGAACTGAAAACTAATATAGAGCAATCTTCCAAAAATAATTGCAAACATTTTTCGAATCCACTTGCACCACCGAATATATGAAACAAATGCGGAAGATACAACATTTTCAAAAACGAATCGGATCCACAATATATGACGAGAAGAAAATCTTCAATGAACTAATGCATCCAAAACTAAACAAAACTGTACATGTTTTTTTTTTTTTTTTTTTTTTTTTTTTAAGTCCGCAAACGTGCAACTATATCGAAAAAAAACCCGTAAGTGTCCGCAAAAAAGTGCAAAACACCACACGAAAAACGTGTGCACTTAGGGGTGTGCTGTGTCCTACCCCGAAAGGGGCTTGGACCGCTGTCCCTGATCCCCCGGGGCACGAAGCTCCTGACGGGGACTAGGTTCCCACTTGGTCCTCCTGACCAAAAGGCCGGGTGGACCACCGTTCCCTATGCCAAGCCGAAGCCGGACATTCAGTACTAGGCAAGGGGACTCTCCCGAAGAAGAGTCCTCTAGGGATCAGGGGAGGAAGGAACCGTATGGCCACACATCCTCCCCCTAGACTTCAGGGTAGGCCCGAGGACCCACACCCTCCATCCGTGAAAGCACACACATAAGAAAGCAAAAAGTGACAATACGTGGGAGTGTAATAAATTAAATTAAGTAAAGAGAAGAAGGAAAAAAAAAAAAGGTACCGTGCCGAAATGTGCACAGACCAGGCCCTGAGGCCCGTAGCAAAAATTGCCCTGGACTTAGCCAAAAGGCCTGGTCCTTAGGGCGCTGTGCAAAAAGAGGTTGAAAAAACAGTGGCCATGTGTCATCTTCACACCGTGGGGTCCCACACCCAAGTGTTACTAGTGACACCCCTGAGAGCGTCTTCCCCAGGGGGCACTGAGTTTGCGGACTTTTTGCGTCCCCCAGCCCCTGGCCAGACCAAGGTAGCATGTTCAGATCAGGAGGTACTGGTCTTTCCGGTCTCCCCAGAGGAATTACTCCCAAGGCCCCAGAACGAATCATGGCGCTCCCTGGTTTCTGTCCCTCCGGTACTAGCCTTCCGGACCCCCATCATACCAGTGAGGGTACTATACAACAACCATCCCCGTAAACTAGAATGGTCGGGAGCAGCACCCCCACTGGACACTGATAAGAACAGATACTACACTTGATCTTAGCCAAAAGGCCGAGAAGCGATACAAAACTGTACATGTATAATAACTAAAGGCATAATGGTTTTTTTTTAGTTTGGATGGAGTAGATAGGGATTAGAACATCTCTCAGGTTGTTATTGCTGTCTGTGCCCCTGTTAGTGAGATTCACCCTCTCTATTTGTCATATTTACTGTTGTCTTTAAAGTGAAAGAAAATCCCCAATTTTAGGTTGTTCCCAGAACAGCAATAGAAGGGAAATCTTCCAATGGTGACACTGGTTCTGGTGACAACTAGTGATTCCCTCACTTTTAAGGGATTTCCTCTCACTTCCTGTTTTAGCTATGCCACAGCAAATGAAGGGAAAGCTCCCCATTAGGACAGGAATTAGGATTAGGAAAAACTGACAGGGGTTATAACCCTCCCTTACTCTATCCCCAAAAAAGTTTTAGTTCTATTTTAAACATGCATGTTTGGGATGTCTGAGCACTACTTGTTTAAGCTATAGAGATAGAAATGAATTGAGAGGATGCCCTGAATGCCAGGATACAAGTGAGTTAACAAACGTAATTGAACAAGGGTTTTGAACCAGTCTGATTAATCCTTCCCCAAGTTCAGTTGGTAAGGTGTTATCTGCCAAAGATATGTAATTAAAAAATGTTCATCTTATGTCAGTGGACAGATTAAAGCAGTGGAAACTGCACTAATACACAAAGTGAGTGACCCATAGAAAGGAATAAAGCAGATTTTAGTTAGGTTAGGGAAAGAAGATTTCAGATTTGATCAGCTTCAGGTTTTATTGTCAAAGCCAAATTGAACAAGCTGAAGTTAGAAGCTGATTGGCCACCATGCACAGCTGCACCAGATTCTGAGTGCACCATTTTTAGTAAATCTCCACCACAGTCTTATTCAGTAACCCAGTGCAAAGAACAATGAAAAGGTCCAAGGTTTATTTACTTAGAGCAACTTAACAGAAATATGATTTTTTTATATACCTTAGTTGGGAAGAATTTGCTGCAGAAGTTGCTGCTATAGATCTTTTCATGGGGCCTTGTTAACACTGGTTAATCATAAGCATTGAACATTTACTGAAGCTGCCTGTGTTCTTCCAATCTGTTCTTGCCATATTTACAATTGTCTCTTGCAGTTTTGAACCTCATTTGACACTTCTGGGAGTGACAGAAGCTCTCTCTTCCTCAGCTTGTAGCTTGATCACCCTGCCTTCCCCACCTATTTCACTTGGACTATGGCAGCTGCATGGGTAATCTTGCACACAATTGTGCTTGGGAGAAAACAAAGACTTCCGCCTAATTTACTCAGTGCCAGTCTTGTGACTACCAGCATTCAAATGACTGTGTTGTTAACAATCCAATCAATCAATTCCCTTCCCACCAAGTCTTCACTTTTTAATAGGTGTGCTGTTGTGACAGACAGCCACTTTGCATATCAGTAGAGAGGATTTTTTTTATAAAAAAAGAAGACAACAGTTCATACGAAAATAAGAATGTGATTGTATTCTCTAGATCAGCCTTTCTCAATGTTTTTAACATAGAGGAACCCTTGAATTAACTTTCTGGGCTGAGGGCCCCCTGCTGTTAATTACTATATCAAAAGTCTGCAGAACTCTAGTGTGATGGTCACTTAGAAGAATGCTCTTTACATTTGTAGTTGTTGGGAAGAATCCCCACCTACAGAGAGCTAAAAAGATAATTGTTCATAGTGGTTACTCATCTGAAAGGTAGAACCTGCTCATTGCTCAAGGAACCCCTAGCAGCCTCTGGAGGAACCCTGGTTGAGAAAGGCTGCTCCAGACACTCTAGTGAACATAATGGTACACAATAGTGAGATTACATACCTTATCAACGTTTGTAATCTTTTCCACACCTCTTCGGTCATTCTGAACCACATTGTAAGAAGTATATACTCTGGGATTTGTCATGTGGTCTGGACTGGTAGATGTTCCATGTAGAATCAGCTTCCAGTTAACTATTCTTCCTTCGTTTTCCAATCGTTTAGACTGAATAACAGAAAATTGAAAAGTACATGATTTACAGGAACACTTGGGTTAGGAAATATATGGCTATTTTGTAAAGATAAAGACTAAAGAAGGGTGAAACTACTTTTAAAAGTGTATATATCCAGGGCTACCAAAGAACTTTGGAAATGTACTTATGGCCCTTGTCTTTTCTTTTCCATTACTTTGGGAACCACCAAAGCACATGCTGCTTTGTTTGCATTACAACTATCGTTATCTGCAATGTAATGGCAGACTGTTCCAAATAGGACAGTTCATACTGTACTTCCGTCCCCCGTCCACTGACATCAGCATAACATACAAGACAAACACCAATACTATTGTTGTGTCTCTACCACACAAACTGTATGGCTGTAGGGAGCTGTGTGACTCAGAGTAAATAGGTCTTTTTATAGCTTTTTTTAACAAATCTGAGATTCACTCACTATTCTGTTGAGATAAATACTTTTAGTTCTAAAACTATTTAAAAGCTGATGCCCACAGTTGGGATTTAATATAATAGCTGTAACTTAATAGCTCTTTTCTACTTCTTACCACATCAGTGATTTTTACAGTCCAGGTTCCTGCCGGATTTTCTCCCCAGGTATGGACAGACATAAAAGCCCAGTTTTTGAAACCATTGGTTGATGTGTCTCTTTCTCTTTCAGTCAAGAGGACTGTCTTGGTTCCTGCATTGAATAACAGAAATATATTGATTTCAAAAACAATTTTGTGTATATCAGTTATGTGTATTTTCCTTAGACGACTGCAAAAAATTACAAATAAAACCTTCAGATGCCATCTAGAATCCTTTATAAACGTATGGTTTATGATGACAACTTCACCATCTAGAAGCATTATAAATGTATGGTTTATGAAAAAAAAACCTTTATTCAATTGCAAAACAGAGAGAAAGATTTTTTCAATGGAGTTTGTGCAGTCTAAATATACATATGATATAACGGAATCAGTAGTGTTAACAAAAGAGATTGGGGTTTGTTATGGTTCAGGGAGTATATCTGAAATCTGGTAGGGGATGTGTTAATAGGGAGCATAATTTTACTGTTTCTGAGATGTTAGTGAATATTCCACTGTATTAGTTACAGTAAAATGAATTTTGATTAACTTCCATAAATATTTCACCTTTCAAAGAGTCGAAAACTAAATTAGTCTGAACAACCATCTTTTGTAAGCCTCTCTTGTTTCTTTGTTTATAGGGATTTGACATTACTGATTTTGCAGGCTCATCCCAAGTCCGTTGCTCTGGAAGATGTCTTTTGATGACAAAACACATTTGGCAGAGCCTCGTACTGACATCATTGCGATTATAACTTACATGCTCATGTTTTTATATTTTATGTGAATGCATTTTTTTTATCTAATAAAATGTCTAAAAGGTTTTTTTTTTTTTCACTGTGGAGATGCTCTTTTTCTCTTTCCTTACATGAATCATTATGCTTTGAATTGGGCTATGCGTATCCAACTGTTGATGTCCCTGGTTACTATCAAGGCTATTTGGAGTATGATCATAATGTCTGAAGACACCACTCATGTTGCAAGAGGGTCAGGCGCAGCTGGTAAGCATGTACCCCATAATCACTTTGGGTGTTGGTGTCGAGTGGTGGCACTTCATGATACTAGGAACGAATGATTCTTCACTTGTCAGTACTCTGTAGATGGGACTTCTATATGAACTTTTTCTACACACTTATTTTGAATTGTTTCATAATTTATGTATGAATAGGTGTTTATTTTTTATTTATGCACTGTAAATTCATGTTTAGCGCAACACAGTTTAACTTCCATCCCAAGCCCCAATTTACCCTCCAAATATCTGTTCAATAACAGTGTCCTTAATAGCCAAGTAGATGGGAATACCATACCATCCAAGTAAAGCTAATTCAGAAGAGGCTTTGCTGGCAATAAGGGATCTTTGGAATGTCTACTGTTAGGGAAGACTCCTACTTAATAATCATTATGTTACATACCTGATGGGGAAGTTAGTGTAATATGAAGATCTCCTCGGCGTGTATACTCGATAGTGGCTTCCAGTTGTAAATGTTCCAGAGACTTGATATAATTATCTTGGCCTTCACATGCCTTTGTGGGGATCTCAATTGTAATTTCATCCACAGATCTAAAAAGCCTGTAATTAGAAATATAAGATAGAGGAGAGTGATGGAATAGGTTTTCTGGATTTCTTCTGTTATGACAAGTAATCAACACACAGAACAAATGGATTCAAGTTGGGGATATCTATGGTCACCTTCATGCCATGTGTACCCTCATCATTATAGGGAAGAAACCAGGGGAGAAAAAAGGACATTATCTGTTCACATGAACTATGACAAGAATATCGGTGATATGTTAGGGAAAGCACAATATGCTCTGTGTTTCTCATTTTATTTTGTTGTGCATTTATGAAAGGTTCATGGGAGAGATAATGTGATCTCCAAATTGAACAATAGCTCACATGTCCTACTCTTTAGTGGCCCACTTTCAATCATGACATTTTACAGGTATGACAATGAGAGCCTGGGCTAGAGATGGCCATGAGCCCTAGACAATTCATGAGCATAAGTGGTTATTTTGGAAGCTGGGTGTCAGGACAGGTTGCTATGCAGGCCTTTCATATGACCCTCCATGCAATATCACTTTCAGATCCTGATCACTTCCTTTCCTGTTTTTAAAAAATAATATACTCTTTTACTTATTCATAAACTATATTTGATATGCAAGTACTGACGGGCTGGTTAAATAAAGCAGCAAGAGAGCAACACAAATGTGCATGTATATAACAGCCATAGATAACTCCACCTACTCAAGTCATATACAGAAGGTATTATTTCTGATTGTTGCTGTGGATACTTTCCTTGGTATTCTTCCTTATGTTAGTAAATAAGCCTGCAGGGAATTTGCTGGAAATGTAGGCATGTACAGCAAGATCAGCTTTTCTTCTATCGTGAACATTCTACACTGGGCATGTGATCTTTCAGGTGAAGGTAGACATTTTTATTAAATTCATTTTTTTTATTTTATTTTTTAATTTCTTTAAACATATACTTATTTGCATTATTGTGGATTTGGTTAGAAGAAAGTGTGTTAACAAGGGAGATGCTATTCTTCATACACCTAGGTAGATCCAGTCCATCCAGTGTTTAGGGGCTAATTTAGAAATGATGGAAGGATTCTTTCCCAAAGGCAAATGGTGTGCACTAACCCAAAATGACCAAACAACGTCATCATGAGCCTGACCATGTAGTGTTGTGTGTTACCTCGTAAAAAAAAAAAAAGGCCTGCATTCGTCTCTATGATGATAAGAGAGTTACACATAAAGTACACCTTAACACTACAACACAGTCAAAAGACCCAAACTGTACAGAGATAGTCCCTGTGACTGCTGAAATGCACTAAAGGATAGCCATATGTTTGCTGTATGTCTATGATAACCTATGTTTATCTTAGAAGTACATGTAGGCCATTTTGAGTTGTCATGCTTCACTGGGCATCTAACTGAAAGGAGGTGAATTCTGCACATGCAAATCCACATCATAGCATTGAGTGTCTAAAATGCACTAAGAAGCAGCTTGATTCTCCAGTGCATAATTGGAAAGTCATACAGGGGCTCATACCAGTAATTTGTTTTAAGTGATGCAAGTTTTATATCATATGTGACAATGTTAAAAAACATAACTGGGTTTATTAATAAGACAAAAGGGAAATAAAACCTGCAACAACAAAGGAACAATCAGCTTTAATTGTTAATGATGGTTGTCCCCTGATTGGCTTTCCCTGGTTGCTTCATCATTGCTTTTTGTCATTTGCACTACCTTGCTAAGTATATACTGTATACAGTTTCCTAAAGATAATCTGTCACAAAGAAAAACACCCACATAAGAAACCACCAGTAAAAGCAGCCATTTACAGACTCATCTGTCACATTCTAGTTCTGGGTCTGTAAAACTGAGCCTGTACACTGGGACTTGCCAGGAACGAACATGTGGATCAGGGAATGGCAAAGTCCCTTTTTCCAATTGTCCTGGATCTCCAGTAGTTGATAAAATCTGATCAACTGCACTCATCTATTATGATTTACTAGCTTTTAGCACAAGAAGAATAACATAGCTCCCAGCTGTCCCTGATTTCAAGGGGCTGTCCCTGATTTGGAACAAAGTCCCTCTGTCTCCCTTTCGTTCTCATTTGTTCCACATTTTGGTCTGATCCATATAGTTGTATATAAAAATGCACTTTTTATCTTTCAAAAGGTGTTTCCAAGTGCTAAACCTTTCATCCAGTTTTTAAATTGCTGCATTTGAAATTGCAAAAGCCAGTACAAAGGAATAGTAGTGGCAAAAAAAAAAAATTGTGGGTTTAACTAATCATTTTTTTTGTATAATTCTCCTTTAAGGGGGTGTGACAGGGGGTGTGCCCTATGCCTACATACTATTGCTAATAAGTGTCCCTCGTTCCCATCTCAAAAAGTTGGGAGGTGTGGAATAGCACTGGCTGCACTACATAGCCCTGTCCTCACCACCCTTTTACTCCAACTCTCCCTGCAACCCTGACACTATACCTCAAACAAGCATTCCCTGTAACATTAACACTCTCAGTAACATTTCCTGTATTTCTAATATTAGCCCTCACACAAACACTACCAGTGACCCTAACACGTTGTGTAGCCTTACCGCCTAGCTTCACACTGATACTCTGTGTAACCTTTACACTATCCCTCACATGAAACATCTCTTTTACCTAATATTAATCTATTATTACTGAAACCTCTAACACTAAGGGGTCAGTTTATAAAATAATCCATCTAGTGGCCATATTGTGGTATTTTCCTGATCGTGGTATCTCAGGAAGATACTGCATATGGTCACTAGATAGAGCTGATAATCATAGGGAATACACAGATTATTTGCAATGGGTGTGTAAATGTTAAGGAATATGCACGGTAAATTATTTATAAATAGACTCCTAAGACTCACTTAAACATTCTCTGTAACCCTAACTCTTAGCCTTGCACTAACAGTCCCTATAACCCTAGCATAAATCCACTCTATAGCCCCAATGCTAACAATAGCCCTCTAACCCAAAATCAAAATGCCCCATTGATTGCATAGTCACACCTGCTATACATAGAAGTGTCCCTTCTTGCTCATAAAGATTCCATTGCCAAGATACCATCCATGAAATCTACATTTCTATTCTTTTCTGTGTACTGGTATTAATTCTAATCATGTTTTCATTTATTGTGGGTTTTTAAATGAAAATGTATGGAAGACCATAGATGCATAATATAATAAATAATGTAAAGGCTTCTGCTCCACTGATGAGTATGTTTACATGACTTTGGTTACCAGCTCAGCTCTAAGTATCCCTGGAAAGAGTTTAAAAATCCTGCAGCTAGTAGTATTTAATATTAATATACAGAATTAATATGCGGAAAATTATTGTTTATAGTGCTTTTATTCATAAATACCTTTTGCTTCACTGGGTTAAAAAATAAATACATTCAATAATTTAGAGGTTGGATGAAAATTTTAGTGTAGTGTAAGACTTGAGGTAGCTCAAGGAGAACTTCACCCTGGAGAAAAAATACAAATACAGTAGCTGCTGACTTGTAATAAACTTGCACTCACCAGTCCAGGGATCCAGCGCTTTCCTCACTTGAGCTGGTTCTCCACAGGTCTTTGGTCTCTGGCACCACCATTTTAGATGTGGGAAGCCAACTGTGACTGCCTTGTGCTTCACAGCCAGGTTCCTACTCCACAAGCACACCAGAGGTCCCAGGTGGTTGGGGCAGAGAGGGAAGGTATCTATCAGAAACAGGTACCCGCTCCAAAAAAAACCCCCCAAAAATCCAAACTTAGTAGAGGACAAGCGTATCTTCCCAATTTTGGTGAAGCTCTGCTTGAAATAGAAAATATATAGAGAGGTCTATGCATCAGACCAAAAAGAGGAACAATTTAGAAGGAAAAAGGGACAAAGGGATTTCTTTCCAAAAGAGGGACAGTCCCTCCAAATGAAGGACAGCTGGGAACTATGATGTTGGAACTGGAGGATTTTACTGAGTTACTGTTATATTTTGTACAGTATCTATTCTCTAGAAAAGCTTTTGATTATATTTGCCAAGTGTCAGCTACTTCTATTTAGGACCAGTTCACTAATGACATGTTGTCAGTTTCTGCTGCGTTTAATTTACCCCGTGACATGAAATTATGGTGTTAACGCAAATAGCATTTAGTTAATTACATTTCTTTGACTCATAATGTACACTTCTATTTTTAAATCTTTATTTCTTTGCAGAGCTAATTCTAGCTTTGGAACATATTCAGAGGAATTTGTGAATGAACCTAAATTATTTTTTTTCTATTTGCTGGGAAATATCCTGCCAAAAAATGTGAGTGGAAATAATAGTCATTAGAATATAATTATGTAGGAAGGTAACCTAGGAAGAAAATTTGTATAACTGCTTGGCATGCACAAAATGACCTAAAATTGTGTTTTCATTTGTTCAACATGTTCTGATGTTTTAAGTACCAACCTGAAGAAAAGCAATTAGTACATGAAAATTGTTCATGTGAAAATCCATTTGATATAACAAAATGTGGGAGGGAATGTGTGGCATGACAATTGCATTATGGGGCTCACTTCCCAAAGTGGTCATTCACCTTTACAGCTATGACTATATATTTTAGTGATTTTTTTGCTAGTTATGGAAAGACCAGTCAAGACTTAAGCTGTGCATGCTCTGACAGTTTTTTTTATTTATTCAACCAGCATGTTGAACAAAAAAAATCACAGTCTTGCATCCACAGAAGCGACGTGGAAGTAGGAATCGAATCACCCATGCCGTGCTATTGTATGTTGACAGCGGAGGCTCCCTCATGTCAGAATACACAGTACAGTGCTGCAGTCAGTGGCTGCAGCAGCTGATAGAATGCTGGTTTTCCAGCAGAATTGTTCAACAGATTTCAGTTGTTAGAGCAGCTTCTGTTGAACATAGAAATTTGGTCGGTTCCAAAAGGCTGAATTTCTATATTAGTATACCCTGGTTAAGCGCTGCCCACTATCATGCCTTCTACACCTGTCTCTTGCACATATTTCCTCCCATAATACCCTTCATACGACTCTCCTGCGCTTTTTGCCCCCACCAAACCCCAAAAGCAGTTTTTTTGTAAAGGCGAACTAACCCTTTAATCCAATACATCCCTTATTCTTGAGTAACTTGTATTTTGGTAAACTACAAACTTTCTTGTGTTTTGATCTAAATCTAAATAATACAACAGAGTCTTGACCAAGTATATATTTGTACTTTTCCCTTTTCTTAAATTGTTCATTTTTGCCAGGGAATCCTTACCTGGGGGTGAAGTCACTGTCTTTAATTATGCAGATTTTTTTCTCAGGGACAGTTTTCCATGTTTTAGGATCAGCTAAATCCACAAGGGCCTTAGCATTGAGTAGTCCAAACCCAAAGCGACTGTTGACCATAAGACCTGCTCCATTCTTCTTCCAGCCAGGATTATTAGCTAGAGGATCGTACTCACTTGTCCAGACAACCAGGTGTTGCATATCCCTCCATGTGAGGTTAGGACTATTTAAAACACAATAATTAAAATTAGGATTATTAAGGTTTCTAAAGATTTTGTAAATTACTAAAAAATGGTAACAATTGTGTAATTTTCATTAATTGTTGAGAAGATAAATGTTTGCATCTTTGCTGTTAACCATTACTCCAGAAAGATCTCTACCAGTGCCCAAAAGAGACAAAAAGTGTAAACATTTCAATAATAATGATTTACCTCTCCAGCATCTACCAAAAAACTGAAATATTTTTCAATGGGTTCGCCCTTTAGTCAACACCCAACTAAAACATTTTTTATCTTGACCTTTAATGATGCTTTTTAAACTGATAAAGATCATGCATTTTTTCTCTGTGTGCATATGGCACCTTATTAAAAAATTTAAATCCTTACTTTTGTTCCAGAGCAAGAGCGAAGATCCCAGCAGCCAATGGAGCAGAAGCAGAGGTGCCAGTATGTGTTTCTGTGCAATCATTATGTAGATCAGCACTTATCTAAATATTGACAGATATAAATGAATGTAAATGCACAGGTTCCTAAAATACAACTTTTTTAGCAAATCTGTTTAAACTATATGTTCATTAAAAAGCAACTTCTTGTACAACATACAAAATTATTTCACACTAGCCGAAATCATTTAGTCAAAATATAAAGACTGCACAGGTTAGTTCTAATGTTTCAGCTGAAAGGTAGCAATGTGAATTTCTACTGGCTGCAGAATGCAATGGAAAGGTAATTTTTAAAAGAATATTGTCAAGGACTGATGTGAATACATTTATGTTCTCTGACCCTCCCTAAGACTACTATTACAAAAATGACCACCCAAAATTTTTGCATCTGCCTGTCCCTCAGGCTACTGCCCCACCTCTTTTGCCTGCTAGCTGCAGAGAACGACCAGATAATGTGTGGGATTGGGGCTGTAACTAGCTGCTTTTTGCTTGAATAACCATCCAGGGTTTCTTGTGTCACACAGATCTCATAGCTCTTGAAGGATGACAGAAGAGAAAATGAAGTAGAGTGGGCAGAATTTGAGGATATGTTTGTAATGACAGCCTGAAGTGATCCGGTGGCTCTAAAGTCTATTTTTGTCTTTAAATTCACTTTAAGAAGCAAGAGTCAAACAACTTGTATATCTGGACAACTTAACATATGGAACATAACAGTAGAATTTGTGGACACTTACAATTCTCTGGTCAGTGTAGTCTCCACTGCTGTAGGCTGTGGCTATTGTGGAGGAACATTTTTCTGCATACCAGGGAGACAGTCCTTGCTGTGATGCACTGCTGATTGAGATGGTGTAAATACTGTCTGTGTATCCATCGCAGTCACAGTTATCTCCCTGTCTGCCACCATTACCGGAAGCCCAAACAAAAATTGAGCCTTTTCCATTTCGCCCCTTTGGAATTAAAAAAAAAAAGTTGCGTTAATATATAAACATATTCCATTGTGTACATTCTACCAACATTGTGTACAGTATATACAATATTCATATAGTCTGCCAAGCAATGAATACAACAATACATTCCCCTTCTTGGTGAAAGTGATGAGCAAGATGACGTTCTAGTATTCCTGACACAAACAAGTGTTGCCTGAATTGAGCACAATTTTTTTCAGAAAAAGGCCAAAACCATAGAAGTTCAACAGTATTAAGTTTTTAACTGGTTTCCTTTAAGGAAGAATTAGGTGTGATTGGTCAGTACCTTATCCCTGTGACCTAATACTGTTCTCCGGACTGATCAATTCAGCGATACGCATATTGGACAAGTAGTCAGAATCATTAGAGAAGATAAACAGTGCACTTAACCTTATGAAGGTGGTGCAATGGAAAATACAAAATAATCTCAATGGCCTCTTCCACACATTGTTTACCCCCAAGACTTCATTGTGCACTTTAAATAATCCGTTTTGGTATACCAATTCAAAAACTACAAAAGAGGGAAAAAATGTAGGTTACAACTACTAACCTTTATTGGAAAATGCTGGCCTAGGCCATTAACGTTTTTAAATCACTGAAGACTCTATCTTTACCTACTGCATATTTATTCTAGATCACTAATTCAAAGTGAGTCAAGCAACTAGCAATTTTATGATAAAAACATAAATGGCAGTCCGTGCATTTCTCTCAAGACAGGTTTGCTTTAAAGCAGCTGTAATGAGTCTAAATGCAAAGAAAGCTGTGGACGCCTTTTTGCTTTTGTTTGTGTCTTCAATCCTGAAAATGTGTTTGCTGTTTTCTAGTATTGTTATCTCTCTTATTAAATTTATAGCAGAAACATTTTACTTTGCAGACAGCAAACAATGGTTGGACAAATGTAAAGAGGTGTTTCATGTGTCTCCTTTAAATATGATATATTTTCAGTTATAATAAGGCATTTCCAATGATAGCATATATTTTCTAGACACACATTACAGTACTGACTAGTAAAAACTCTTTGCTAAATATTATGGTATTGCTTGACACATAAATAACATGTTTCTCAAAGTCACTCTGTCGCCTTCATCTACCAGGACAAGAAAAGGTTCATGCACTTTTTTTCATTATATTTTTGCTAAAGATTATATTTTTTTAAGATGACATTTCCTTCTTTATGCATGGCTCTGTATTAGGAAAATCCACAGGTGCAGGTTATATAACATTCTGAGGAACAAAGCATATTGATCCAAGTGTGATACTTAAAAGGTGACCCAGCTGGCCACATGCTTGTATCTTGTTTATTCCTTGGTGACCTAGTCTCCTGTCCTCTTCTTTTGTGGACTAGGTTCTCTTTGTCTGATCTTTCCATTCATGTTTATGGTCTGTAATGACATTTCTACAGCTTCTCTTGAAGTCATTTTCTGTTTCTTTTGTTTGTTGAATTCACAACAAATCTGCTTTTGTTTGCAAATGATCAAACTAGGCTTTCAAACACTGCTACACAACATCGCTTTTACTCAGAGAAGTACTGTGTAGCGTTATAGTGCCCATTGTGGTATTTGTAGACTATAAAAAAGTTACAGCAATCCTTGTACTATAATGCAAGGTCTGCCTAATTATTTTGCCCTCCCTCATTCCAATAAGCTGCAATAAATGAAAAAAAAAAATGACCTTTGCCTGTTTGTAAATTACTTCTAAGGCCATAACCAGAAAGCAGGGTCCAGTTTTAGGCACCATATTAATATTATATAGGATTTATATAGCACCAACAATTTGTGCAGTACTTTACAACATGGGGGCAGAGAGTAGAGTTACAATACAATTCAATACAGGAGGAATCAGAGGACCCTGCTCGTTAGAGCTTACAATCTAAAAGAAGCCATGTTGTGAAAAAGGATATAGGTGTTTGGGAGAGAATTCAGAGGCTGGCAAATAATTTAATCAATGACCAAATGATAGATAATCTTACTTCCAGTGAACATTCAGAAAACCTGGATATACAGCATGTTCGCTTTGTCAAAAATGTGGGTCACATGTATGAAAAGTTTGTTGACTTTTGCAATCATGTAGATGTAGTTTAGTTTTTTACCCTGCACCCAGACAGATTTTAGTTTGTTACTATAGACAGCACTTCTGTTAAAAAGAAAGAAAGACTCTTATTGTTACATTACATAAAGACTCACCTGTTTGATGCCATACTCAAAGGCCTTTTCTGCTAATCTACCAGGGCCTTCTACTGTTTTTCCATCATCATTTGGTCCCCAGCTAGCACTGTAAATATCTACATGCTGAGGATTAAATCCAATGGAGCTGGCTTCAATGGCATCAGTGACAACTCCATCTAACATCCGAATCCCTATAATCACAAATAAAAAATTGCAAATTAATGCCTGGACCAGAATGTAGAACACATTACAGAGTTTGGCCTTTCCTTCGATGTCCATCATTGCTCCATCAGGACATTTTTGCATTCCCTTTTGACATGGTGCCGTAACAGGGTTACATAGCAAGAGGTGGCTTTATTTTTATTGTCTAGGTTATATCCTACGTTCTGGAACTAACCAGCTCCTGATAGGTAGCTGTTGTGGTAAGAATACCAGTCCAACCTGCAGATGCTTTTTGCCCAATCAAAAGGATTGTAAATAGGAAGTGTGAGATATCGGGGATTGTTCCTACTGGAGAAGTTTGTGTAGAAAGCAGCTATTTTATCTGTTGTATCACCTGTGTCCTTAGAATCACAATGCTATTTTGTTCCTGTGAAGAATCCCACCTAATGATTCAAGAGTGTGGGGAGAACGGAGTTACCAAGGAAGGTTGGCAGAATAATGGGACTCTCAACAGTCATAAAAACAGGGATATATACATATCAAAGCCTGCAATGTGAACAATCAACATTCTTAGTGGAAATACTTTTTCCACATTCTGAATCTTGAAACAGTAAGGGCCCATTTACACCAGCAGAATGGAGCTGCATTGCTTAATGCAGTCCCAACGAGAAAACAAGAAAACTTGCTGTCCTATTGCTTCGGTTAACACCAATGCCCTACGCAGGACATGTTGCATTTTTGCACAGTGTGTTCCTATGCACTATAACACATTGCAATGCACTCCAGCGCAAAACAATACACGGAGAATGTAAAAAACATAAAGCACTGTAATGCATGTTAACAATGCATTGCAACAGCACAGAACTTCAAGAATCAATACAGACTCCAATGCACATGTTATGCACATAACATGCATACTGTGGTACTGTGATGTGAATGGGCCCTTGAATCTCCATAGCACCATCTATTTAGTAGAATCCATTTTCTCAAACACTTCTCCATCTCAGACTCACCACTTATCTAAATCAGGAGAGCTGTCTGTGCTGTGTTTGCTTGGTGGGTACACTTTAGCCAAGGAATGCTTTGCATTGATTAATTGTTTCTTTAGAGTGGGTGTCTTCAAACTTTCTAAACAAAGGTTCAGTTTACTTTCCTTCAGACTTTAGGAGGACCAAGCTGTGGCCAGTGAGAGTGGAAAATGTTGGTGTAAGTAGAAGCAGTAATGACCAATTGTGGTGTCAGTGGAAGGAATAGTGCCCCATTGTTGGTGTCAGTCAAAAGAATAGTGTCTCATATCTGTGGGAGAAACAGTGCCACAAGGGCCAGATGAAGGCAAGGAAAGGGCCACATCTGACCTGCGGGCCACAATTTGGAGACCACTGCTGTAGAGCATAGATAATCCTAACATGTCTATTAGGTAATCTGTACATAAGAGTGGTGATCCAGAGCCCAATCTCCTCAAATGATGGGCCTAAATCAAGTATTATTTGTGATAGACAGGAAAGATTGTGCAATGCTTCCTTTTGGGCTCGGTAACGGGGTACGTCAATCGCTCTCTTTTTAATGGGAAAAAGCAATGAGTATTGCATTTTGCATTTACTTCTAGTACCTAACAGCCAAGTCAGAGAGAGTATACCACCCAATTATGTATTAAAGAATTGGTATGCACAGTTCGTCATTCTCGGTAAGATATCTAAGATATGTTTAGAAAGAAATCTACACTTCTTAAACAAATATGTCCAAACTTTAAAACACAGACTGTCTCAATATGATTTTGCTTATGCTTTGTGAATAAACAAGTGAAAGGTTTGAAGATCCTCAGTCAATATTTATTGCTATTAAAATCTGCATAGCAATGTGCAGATGGTGCCCTGAATACTCCTCTTGAATAAAATGAATCTTTAATGATGGTTCTAATGGTGTGTCAGAGTGTTCCATCTGTATGTGATTTTAGATGTAGTATGCAGGCATTGATTAAACATGTAACCACAACGCCACAAAGAGATTATATCATAGCTCCAGAGATTTACTCAACCTGGTATTTCAGTAGGGATATAGTACAGCTTTAAAATATGAGGCTTTTACTGACAAGCTTCTTTTGCTGCCACTCATGGAGTGCCCTGTCTAAATGTGTTCACTACATAGATAATAGTGAAATTAATCTGTGTGTTGAATACAAATGTTTATAACGTCACTATGTGGATTATTGGATCCATTTAAAACGTATATAGGATGTGCAAGGTACATTGTGGTTTAGCAAAATGCCAGTATACACTGGAACAGTAGACACAAACACGCTGTCTCGTATTCCGCAAAACCTTGCAAACCAAATACTTTTTACTCTGAGTCACAACTGAATCTTGAGAATTTTTACTTGGTCACACAGAAAACCCACTGCGCACCAGTATACTGACAGTTATAATATTTTAGGGTTCTGCTATATTTTAGGGTTTTAAAAGTGCAAAGTGTAACTGAAAACTGATTAAGCTACAGGCAATAATGTTGTAATAGTGCATCTTGCTATTGCATGCATAAAGAAGCATTCCAACTGCAACTGTTTATCTTGTGAACTGTAAAAGGATTCATAAGTGTAAACAGAAAACTTCATATATTGTACTTATATGCCTAGAAAACAATGAGTTTAAGGTCTTTTGTGATAATTTTCACAAAAATTCACAAACACCTCTACGGAGAAAGCAGTATAAATGAAATTCAACATATATCTGCAAAATAGAAATGTCATATTACCTCCTACTTTGGCATTAAAAGCAACACCAACTCCACATTTGTGGTTGTTTGCAACCATTGCAATTTCTCCTGCACATCTCGTTCCATGTCTAGAAATAACAACAGATGATATATAGCTTAATGATCCAATGCAATTAAATTCTGCAAGAAAAGTTAATCAGAAGACATAACCTACCTGCTGAATAGCTCTTGTTTTAATTATGGTATGTGTGCACTAGGCTACTTTAAATCCTTACAATTGTGGGTGTCCCCATGTTCCTCAAGGCTCTTCATCTGAACATGTTAAAATGCAGGCCAGTGTATTCACTAGTTCACGCACTGTCCTCTCTTTAGACCCATAGGAGCCTTGCCAATGAGCTGTGTGTGTAATTCTCTAACTCCACGCACAATTGCCCTTCAGGTGAAAGCTCTGACCAGAATGAATATACACTTTTAAAATTATCTTTATCTATAAGATGGAGCAATTGCAAATACAAAATGTCATTGACAATGTTGAGGTTTCTATCTTTACAATGACTTTTTTATGTTTTACAGAAGAACAGAAAGAATAAAGGTTATAAATAAATACTTCCTGTGCCTTCAATGTTGTTCCATAAAGCATCAGCTAACAAAAGGGCATTTACATGCAAAATGACACCAGGGGAAAGAATCAGTAGAAGCCAATATAGCTATAGAGATAAACAAACCAAAACCAGTAATATCAGGAAATACCTAATTAGGTTCAGGACTTTTCCCCAGAGCCAGAATGAGAGGAGTAAAATGGGAAGTGCATTATGTATACAAAGGAGAGCTTACATTGTAAACACCCTTACAGACTTACAGACCTTCCCTATCAACCAGCCCCAAGGGAAGGGAAAAGTTTGGAAATGAAGATGGTTCAGGGCTGCAAGTCAGATCCAGAAAGGCCATGATGCTTTCAGATTGCCCATTCATTGTAAAATTTGCTAACCATCATTCAGCTTCCATTACCTCCTTCATCTTTCTGATCAAAGCCTCTCCTGATGGTACCCTAGCCTGTCCCCTGAAGAGAGGGATCAGACACTTGGCTACATTTAACAGGCAATGAAGCAATGCACAATGTTTATATTTTTTAGTAGACTTGGGAGGCAAGAGGAGGATTAATAGGCCCAAAGCATCCAAAAAGTCCATATCTAAAATCCTTTTAAATAATGAGCCAATGTTTTGCCTAAAAGGATGAATCCATGCACACTCCCACCAGATATGCAGCAGGTTCAGTCCTGGCAACAGTCCCTCCAAGAAAGCTGTGGTAGTGGTGGAAAAACGGCAGCTTGATAGGAACCTTAAACTAGCAAATGAGAATTATATCAGGTTTTATAATGAGAATTATGGGTCAGTTGAACCATTTGGGACATTTATGGCTCAGTTAAGTTAAGCACAAGGTCGTGTTCCCAGTGGTAGACTGCCCCAGGATCTTTTAAGAAGCAGCAACTTGTATACTGGAGAAATCTGTCTAACCAGGGGATTACACACATTACATAGCTGTTCAAATTGGGTCACGGATGACAAAGAGTGTTTTGAAGGATTCTTAGAGCAGAAAGAGAATTTTAACTGTCCATTCTTGCAGTGCTCCTTTGGAAAGCTTCCAAAACGTTTAATCTCCCAATGAGAGCAGACAACCCTCCTCAAGAAATTTATAACAACAGGTGTCCCCTTCAGGCAGTCACATGGAAGAAGTCAGGTCACCCATCAACTGGTGAGATGGTAATATGGGGGAAAGATATGAAGGGTACAAATGTGCCCTTTTTATTGACCACATCCCACACCACAAGGGCATGGATGGTCATAGGGGACGAGGTGTCCAAGAGTCCCCAGAAGTCTTTCAACAGTCAAGGTGCATATGCCAAATTCTATCTTGCCATGATTTTCTCCATTGGCACCCATAGCTTGGAGTGAACTAATTAGGTTAATTAAGTACCCTTTGTAGATCTATCACTTTATAGTAAAGGGACATCAGGGAGGCCCAGGCTACCTAGGGTCTTGGACCTTGTAAATATGGAGGATGCCAGGAGGTGTTTCTTGCTATTCCAAACAAATTGTATTAATAGATTATTAATAGATTTTTAGATTTTTTAATAGAGAGCTGCCAAAAAAAAGGCCCAGAGTAATCTAATGGGAATAATCTGTAAAGTAAACAAAACACAAGGTAATACTTTCATTTTTATTATATTTATCCTGCCTAGCCACGACCAGAGTGAAATTGAGTTCAGAATGAAGGCATATTACATTTTATTCCTACTTCTTGTGCTCCAGTGTTTCTTGAATATGTGACTGGAATAATGGAGTAGAACACCTGAAACCGTGCTGATTCAACTAATTTACACTATTTCTATGAACTATGCTGTACCTGCTCATCTCCATATACAGATGTTTCCTGGACAGCATTAGGCAGTTCACTGACTGATTATTTCTGTTGCCTAAAGTTGCTCTTTATTAATAAATCAAAGCGAAAATAGCAGCATATATACTGTATTTCCCCTGATATCCATGAAATGCTGTTGGAGGATGAAATGCAGATGATATCTCTCCAGCAACAGAATCCTTTCTGCATGGGATGAAGCAGTGCTTGGAAACACAGTCTTTAAGAAATAGCCAGAATATGGCAGTTACCAGATATGTGCAGAACATTCTCAAATGGTTTGTATGACTACAGTTTTTATGGCTCTCCATAAATCTGCATAATTTATCAATTGAAGGAATTAGTGCTTATAAATAAGCTGGCTATATTACAGTTTTTGAGCTTTAATGTTTCTACTCAAAGAATAATTTTTGAACAAATTCCATTGTAGAAATTTCCCCACACTATCTGTCATGCTGACCGTCATAGGGTCAGGAAATGAGAGAAAAATCTCCCAAAAGAGGACAAACTTCAGTACCGGGATGGTGCCATCCAGCATCAAGGACAAGGATGCGGAACTGTAATCTCCTCCTAACACATCATGTAGCATGAGCATACTGCCCTGCATCTGTTCTCTGCTCTCTTGGCAATGGAGTGTGCATGAATGCGTGCACAACTTATTGCTTGTTTTCTAACAGCTAGGTTGTAGTTCCACATGTGCAGAGAATTTTTCATGGTGGCTGTGTTTGGCTGGGGTGAAAAGTGGTCATGTTGGAGCACCGTGGTTGTCAGCCACTGATCTGGAGTGTGCTTGCAGTAAGAGGAGTGTGGATCGGTGCATGACACATTTTTCCCCCTTGAGTGATGGTGCTGCACATTCAAAACCTAGAAAACAGGAAAATCTGCAGCTTTCAAGCCCTGCACACTGAGCTACTTCCTTCCCTACTGAGTGCCATACTCAATAACATATGGCCTTGTGTACACCCCAAAGACTGTTCCTTACTTCATTTAAGAAGAACTGGAGGCACACTATAAAATTCTTCATCAATAAAAGTTGCAGTATACCGTTTCATTTAGGGATGTCCTCAATAGGAGAGTTGACCTTAGTTTGAGAAAGAACTACCTTGAGTTAGCAATCTGTGGACGGGGTCTGCTGGCCATGCACACAGGGGGTACCTCTCTCGTATGTGCGCTCACCAATGCTTTGGGCCAGGTGGGGCCACGGTCACGTGGATTTAACATTAAGGGGGACCACAGCTTTGATGTGAGCCATAAACCTTGCACATCTGTGTAACAATATGCAACTTCTTGTTAACACTCTGTCCCGTATCATTGCACACCTTGTCTTCTAGAACATAGAATTTTGTGGGGAAAAGGGGGGGGGGGGGAAGCACTGATCTTGTGCCCTACTCTACCAGACCAGCATTACTGTGCCACCTCACTTCCAGTGACAGAATGGGGTCCGTCGTGCACTAAGCACGGACCTCATGTGTGCACTTAATACATTTCTTACTCTCCAGTACCAATGGCTAGGTCCTTGGGATTTCTGTACCATGAGTTCAGTCCCAAATGCTTTGCAGAACCAACTGCTAGGGAAGAAGCCAGAACAATTACCACCTCTTTACTGGAGGACCTGTCACCCATGCCTGGTACCACTCTCCACTGTCTGGCTGCTCTTACATTCCCACCAGTTCATGGTTACCTGTAGCAACTACACACTTTCAGCAAACTCCTCTTGCTGAGTCAACCTTTTGTGATGGTCTTCCATTCCTTCCTCTTCACCCCTTTATGTGCTTACAGCTCCTGTTCTTTTAGGTATGCCATAAACCACTATGCAGCCTTTTGGTAACTTCAGACAAGGCATTTGCATGGCTAATACTTTATTGCACATACTTCAACTTTACAGTACAAGGTGTAACAAAAGTAACACTAACTAGCTAATCTCAGGCTGCACTCAGGTACTAGTCCATAAGGTGGAAGAGAATCCTGATCCAGGTGGATTCCCCTGAGGGTGCCTCTAGGGTTGCTGAAAATTACATCCTTCAGGTTGAGCCTCTTGATCCATGCAGCCATGGCAAAGAGCCCCCTGTGCAGAGCCTTCCCCCTTTTTATAGAAACACAAGGTGTAGGGCAAAGTCCAGAAATGCCCAGAAATATCTATCTCACACAGTGGCAACTGTGAGCCACAAGTCATTGGTGAAGTCAGAAAATCTGGCATGCTGGCAATTCACCATGAAATCAAGTCAGTCTTGCTTTTTGTGGGTAAAGCCATGATTGATGTCATATGCATTTCTGCCAGGATCATGCTGTGGGTAGTCACGGCAAAAAAGCATCTATGGTTCAGACCCTGGCTGGCCTACAAATTATTGTGATGCAAGATCTCCTTCAAAGGTCAGTCCCTTTTTGGGAGCAAGCTATACACTACTATAGCACAAAGCCTGCAGGGTAAAAATACCAGTTTTTACCAGAAAAAAAGTTAATTCTAAGACAAAGGAATAAGTTCTTTACACTCCAGAAATTCACATGCATTGTCAATCAAAAGCCAAGCAGCCTGCCTCCCCTAAAGTGCTTAGTTTATTTTGGAGCTTTATTGGACACATGGAATTATCCAAAGTAATTTCCACTCTTCTTTCTTCTGACAAAGTTAGTACAACTAGGATTTACAACAGAATCTCTGAGAGATTTGTACATTTTGTCTTCACTATTCCTTCTCCAACAGAAAATCTCAGGATA